CAACTGCCCACAAAAGAATGGCCTTGGTTTTTAAATAGGTTGCTGGTCTATGACACTAAAATTTGGACAACTTTTAAAGGCAAAAAATAAGAAGCCCATTTGTAATGGAGGTGAATAAAATCACTCATCAGAGCTAAAATTATCAAAATTAACAAAGACGCAAAGACCCTATTCAAATAGTTTACATGCATCAGAGATCTTGTAATAAGAACTCTGTGTGCTAATTCTAAATTTCTCCAGTTTCTCTGAACAATAAAGTGTGGGTGCATATAAATATTTTCACAAATGAAGGATAACTCTTAAGACTGCATTGTGGCCAGCGCTGTGGCTCACTAGGCTAATCCTCCGCCTTGCGGAGTCGGCACACCGGGTTCTAGTTCCGGTCGGGGCGCCAGATTCTGTCCCGGTTGCCCCTCTTCCAGGCCAGCTCTCTGCTGTGGCCAGGGAGTGCAGTGGAGGATGGCCCAAGTGCTTGGGCCCTGCACAGCGCGCAGGCCGCGGCGGCCATTGGAGGGTGAACCAACGGCAAAAGGAAGACCTTTCTCTCTCTCTCTCTCACTGTCCACTCTGTCAAAAAAAAAAAAAAAAAAAAAAAAGACTGCATTGTAAGGCTGGCTCGCTAGGCTAATCCTCTACCTGCAGTGCCAGCACTCTGGGTTCTAGTCCCGGTTGGGGCACCGGTTCTGTCCGGTTGCTCCTCTTCCAGTCCATCTCTCTGCTGTGGCCCGGGAGTGCAGTGGAGGATGGCCCAGGTCCTTGGGCCCTGCACCCACATGGGAGACCAGGAGAAAACACCTGGCTCCTGGCTTCGAATCGGCGCAGCACGCCGGCTGCAACGCACCAGCCGTAGTGGCCGCTTTGGGGGTAAACCAACGAAAGGAAGACCTTTTTTTCTCTCTCTCTCTCACTGTCTAACTCTGCCTGTCAAAAAAAAAAAAAAAAAAAAAAAAAAAAAAAACTACAAAAAACCAAAAACAAAACAAAAGACTGCATTGCTGAGGGGCAGGCATTTGCTACAAAGTTAAGTTGCTGCTTGGGGACTTGGGCGGGGGAGTAGGTGGCTGGGGTTGTGGTATAGCAGGTTACAATGCTGCCTGGGATGCTGACATCCCAGATGGGTGCAGGTTAAAACAGCGACGAATGGTCCCAATACATGGGCCCCTCCACCCATGTGGGAGATCTGGAACAAGCTCCAGGCTTATAGCTTTGGCCTGGCCCAGCCCTGGCCGTCAAGGCCATCTGTGGAATGAACCAGCGGATGCAAGATTTCTCTTTTTCTCTTTTTCTCACTTTTTCTCTCTCCCTCTAATAACTCTAACTCTGCCTTTCAAATAAATCAATCTTTTAAAAAAAATAAAGATGCTGCTGTTTGGGAAGACTGCATCCTACACCCGAGTGCGTGGGTTTGGGTCCTGGCATCATTCCCAATTTCAGCTTCCTGCGAACACACATGTTGGGAGGCAGCAGGTGGTGGCTCAAGGACTTGAATCCCTGGCACTCAAGTAGGGCATCTGGTTTGAGTTCCTGTCTCCTGATGTTGGCCTGGTTCAGCCTCAGCTGTTATGGGATTTACGGAGTCAACCAGCAGATGGGAGATCTCTGTCTCTCTCCCTCTCTGAACTTCAAATAAATAAATAAAAAAACTTTAATGAAGAGTTCAGTGTGGTGACCCAGCACACCTTAGCACTGGGTACCAGCTGCACCACCACGACTCTGTTCTGCCCCCCAGGAGAAGGTCACATCCCCAGTAATGGGCACAGGGGTAAAACAATTACCTGGCAGAGCCACAGGCCTCCCAGAAGCTGGCTTGCTGTCGAGGCTTCAGAGGCCATGCTGGCAATGACAGACACAGCAGTGCAAAGTGAAAGGTGGCACTGGGTCAGCTGATCTCAGAGTGAACTGGGTCTCTCAAGAGCTAAGCTGATTCCTGCAATCCAGCCACCTATCAATCCATGAAGTGCTACTTTGTCACTTCTTTCAAGCCATGACTTTTAAGATTTGAAAGGTAGAGTTATACATAAAGACACACACACGCACGGAGAGAGAGAGAGAGAGAGAGAGAGAGAGAGAAATCTTCCATCCATTAGTTCTGAGCCAGGCTGAAGGCAGAAGCCTGGAACTCCATCCAGGTTTCCTATGTGGGGCATGGGTCCAAGCACTTGGGCCATCTTCCACTACTTTCCCAGGTATAATAGCAGGGAGCTGGATTGGAAGCGGAGCAACCAGGACTTGAACCAGTGGTCAAATGGGATGTGGGCCTTGCAGGTAGTAGCTTAACCCATGGTGCCAGAATGTTGGCCCCCAAACCATTGCTTTTGAAGTTTCTATCTACAAGAGCCCCCTCACTTAAGGTCATAAGCAGAATGTTTATGTATCTGTTTGTCTGGTTGTTTATATGCTTATATAACTATTTATTATTGTTATATAAATAGGTATTTATATAACCATTTTTGTTTACTTATATATTGTTGTAAAATCTAGCATTCTTTAGAATGGGCCATCAAAGAAGGAGGTACCTTTCTCTGAAGGGAGGAGAGAACTTCCACTTTGATTATGGCCTTGTCTAAATAAGGTCGGAGTTTATGAATTTAAGAGGCTTCCATAGCCTTGACAGCTCATGACAACAGCCTTGGGTGATTACTGATATCATAAATAAGAGTGTCAATTGTTAAATCAACAATAGGAGTCACTGTGTACTTGCTCTTCATGTAGGACCTCTGTCCTTAATGTGTTGTATTATGCAAATTAATGGTAAAACTAGTCTTCAGACAATTCTTTATACTTTGTGTATGTGTGTGTGGGTGTGATCTATTGAAATCTTTACTTAGTATATACTAAGTTGATCTTTTTTTTTTTTTTTTTTTTTTTTTTTTTTTTTTTTTGACAGGCAGAGTGGACAGTGAGAGAGAGACAGAGAGAGAAAGGTCTTCCTTTGCCGCTGGTTCACCCTCCAATGGCCGCCGCTGCAGCCGGCGCACCGCGCTGATCCTGGCAGGAGCCAGGAGCCAGGTGCTTTTCCTGGTCTCCCATGGGGTGCAGGGCCCAAGCACCTGGGCCATCCTCCACTGCACTCCCTGGCCATAGCAGAGAGCTGGCCTGGAAGAGGGGCAACCGGGACAGAATCCGGCGCCCCAACCGGGACTAGAACCCGGTGTGCCGGCGCCGCAAGGTGGAGGATTAGCCTATTGAGCCACGGCGCCGGCTCTAAGTTGATCTTCTGTATATAAAGATAATTAAAAATGAATCTTAATGAAGAATGGGGTGGGAGAGGGAGTATGAAATGGGATGGTTTGCTGGTGGTTATGGGGGGAAACTGCTATAATCTAAAAGTTGTACTTTCAAAATTTATATTTATTAAATATAAGTTTTCTAAAAAAAAACTAGCATTATTCAAAAGTACTCTAACAGTCCTTGACAGTCCTCATGGGAAAGAGCACTGGTTAATGTCACCAGTCCAAAAGTGTTCTTCAAGGGTAACTGTGCAGGTATCCCATTTGTGGAAGATATCTTAAGTTCTGGGAGCAATTACAAATAGAAATTGTGTGAATAGCACAAAGGTGGTAAGTTGCTTGTGTTAGGCAAAGAGAAGTAGCATTATCCACTAACTACATAAAACATATACTTTTCTGGCAGTAGGAGACATTTTTCTTCTATTTGTGTTAAGGTTACTCACATACAACTGGTGAGCGACCCATAGCTACGGAGGGTTTTCTAGCAGGAAAGTTGTGCTTCCATGGCTTTGTAAATGCAGGCGTGAGCTTTTCCTGAACTTATCTTCAAATGCACATGGTATGTTTCAAAAACATGAAACTGAAACTTCAGTATTTAGTCCATGAAGATACCAGAGTTCTGATTAGGAGCAGAATTTTGAGTGCGAGAGGGGAGTGGAAGAACAGTGAAGGATACCAGAAAGATTGAGAGAGAAACCACTTGGGCTGGCAGATTGATGAGCTGCCACTCTCCGCCAAGAATTCCATCTCAGTGGTCATCAGAAAAGCTTCTCTCTCTCTCCCCCAAGATGGTCAGCGGCAGTCCTTGAGGCTCCATCTGCCACTCCTCTGAGTCAACAGCCTTTTGAGGATTGCCATTCATTAAATCAAACTGCCAAAAGCCTTTTCCCAGTCAAGCTCATGCAGGAAGACATTCATCTATGAAGTGAGTTTTACAGTCCAAGGCCATTAACTGAACAAATGTAAGGCAGAGAGGACACGGAGTGATGTGGGGAGGAGCTCCGAGGGCGGTACACCAACAACGTGTCTGGGCAACACACCGCATCACTGGGCCCTGGGTGCCAACAATCTTGACCTCTGAGCAGGCTGGGCACAGAGCTAAGCTCACTGTAAGTAGAGTGGAAAGCAATGTCCACACTGAGTGCTGATTCAGCAGGGAGGGAGGATGGGGTATGAGAGGACAGGTGGTCTATAAACAGCATTCGATCTCGAAAAGTCTATTTATAAGAGAGGGAGATTAGGGAAACAATTTGCCTCTTTGAAAGCGAGTGGCAGATGCACACGACGGGGCCTCCTTCTTTTCCAGCCACGCCATGGCCTCATGACAAATGGTGCTTCTAACTCCACTGACATTGACAGCCACGCCATGGCCTCATGACAAATGGTGCTTCTGACTCCACTGACATTGACAATCCTTCACAGACGCGAAGGCAGAACAAACAAGGCACAAGGCACGAGCCTGCAAAACGCTGCTTTTCTGCTGCTGGCAGAGGGCTTTGATATAGCTAGTGCATGTACCAGAGAGAGCAAAGTGAAGGGTAACTCTCTGGAAGGCATTTCAGAATCCTGCAGCTCCCAGCAACAAACACGAATAGCTCAACACCAGGTTTGGCACTGTGACACTCTGTGGTATGTTCTCCCTCAGGCAGGAAGCTTTCTGTGTGAATTTCCTCGGAGTCTCAAGATGCCACCTTACCAGGAAATGAGAAGTATTGACCTTTACCAAAGCATGGTACCAGTAGATGCCATAAGACCGCGGCAGCTTCTTACCTTGTTGTGGCTATCTTTTCTCCCTTTTTCCAGTCCCAAAACACAATACTGTGAAAATCGTCTAAACCAACCGACACCAGACATTTTCCATCAGCTGTGTGAAAACAACACAAATGTCAAATGACTCATTGCTTTGCTGCAAAACCAAAACATTTTGTATACTGTCAAGAGGAAACAAGAAATTGACCTTAAGAATATTCTTTGGGCTCACAGACGTTAGGAAAGATCCCATGGGCAAGGGACCCCGCTGTATGAAATGCATGGCTAGTAACCCTTGAGCTTTTAAGGCATAGTAAGTGGTTGCTGAAATAAGTTGCTGCCCTGACAGTCCAGCCAGAGCCACAGAGCCATGCAGGGGCCCCTGAGGTAAGTCACAAAACCTTGTCTATTTTGTGACAGGCAAATCTCATGACATTTATTCCAAGAGCCACTTGGCATTGTAACCCTGTGTCTATTTTCAGTTCTAAAATACTGAGTTCAATTTAACTCTTCTAAGATAAGATCATTATAGAAACTAAATTTAACTTCAAAAATCCCTTTGCAAAGAGGATTTTTGCAATTAAAAAATGTAATTACTAGGGAAAGCATTCGGTCTAGCAGTTAAGACACCGGTTAAGATGCCCGAGTACGTGGGTTCTATTCCCAGCTCTGACTCCTGATCACAGCTTCCTGCCAGTGCAGACCTTGGGTGTCAGTGGTGTTAGCTCAGATAATTGAGTCAATCCTTGTGGGAGACCTGGCTTGAGTTCCCAGCTACTAGCCCAGCCCTGGCCATTGCAGGCATTTGGGGAGTGAGCTAGTGGATGGGACAGTGTTTGCTCCCTCTCGCTCACTCTCATTCTGCCTCTCAAAAACTATAGAATTTAGTATCTGACTTTTCCTATTTCAAATGTAGGTATGTTTGTTATAGGACACTTAAAAAACATGGATAAACAAATAATTTTAATCCTCCAGATTTGTAAGCCTACACTTGATGTATATCCTACTAGTCTTTTTCTCCACATCAATGTACTTTGAAAAAAGAAATACAAAACTAGGATCGTACTGAATAAGCTATCATCTCATCTTTTTTCATGTACTATAGCATGAAAATTTCCCCTTAGTAACAAATACATGTAATATTATCAAAGAGTACCATAATTAGGACATTTTGGCTGATTTCCAGAAAAAATTAAGGCATAATTAAATTTGAGATGAAAATAATTTGCTGTTTCCCTTCAAGACAGAAGGGGTACAGTCCCTTGCTTGCTACTTTAATTCAAAGGAGAAGCACCCATCAAACCCCGCTGTGTGGTCATAGGATACACAGGACATGGGTGATGAAGCTCATCCTGCTTCAGTTTATCAGAGTCTCTTTGCTAAGGGAAAGAAATAGAAACACATGATTAACTGGTTCTCCCAGGTCCATGGGTCCACTCCAGGTCTCAACTTTTATTTTCAAAGGCAGGCCTGCAGGTAGACCCCAAATGAAGGTAAAATAAAGGGAGACTTGTCCAAAAGGAATTCTGGAGAAGCAATAAATATTATTCCTTAGTCTAAGTATGTCACATGCAATACTTATACCTGTCACATATATTTATACATCCATCACATGGAATATTAACTTAAGGTAAAAATAACTATCTGAAATTAAAATTTAATGCAGCCTCTTATGGTTTTTGTTGGTACAATCTGACACTCCTACCTTAAGTGCTAACCAATGCCCAACCTTTGAATGAGACTCCCTCCCGCAACTGACTGGAACCCATGGCCTGCTCCTCCTCTGGAGAAAGAAGGGAAGAGAAAGGGAGAGTCTAGCTTAACAAACCACAAAGCCTCTTGTTATGCATTTGGGAGAAGGGACTGGTAATGATTTCCTATTAATCTCAGCAATTATCTTTTCCTTGCCTCTTGGCAGGACCCGGTTATATTTCTTTATTAGCATTCCTCTGCATTTGGTTATTTTTGTTTGTGTGTTCCTCTCCCTTTTTGGATCATAAGCTCTTTTAAAGCTTATAGTAATGTATGGCATTTCCTTTGTGACTCCAACACAAGCTGGTGACACTGTGGATGATGAGGAAGATGAAGATGGAATATGCCCACAGGTGGTATGAAAAGAAAACGTACAATGTTAGATAGCTATAAATTTTTTTTTTTTTTTGACAGGCAGAGTGGACAGTGAGAGAGAGAGACAGAGAGAAAGGTCTTCCTTTGCCGTTGGTTCACCCTCCAATGGCCGCCGTGGCCGGCGCGCTGCGGCCGGCGCAGCGCGCTGATCCAATGGCAGGAGCCAGGAGCCAGGAGCCAGGATCCAGGTGCTTTTCCTGGTCTCCCATGGGGTGCAGGGCCCAAGCACCTGGGCCATCCTCCACTGCACTCCCTGGCCACAGCAGAGGGCTGGCCTGGAAGAGGGGCAACCGGGACAGAATCCGGCGCCCTGACTGGGACTAGAACCCGGTGTGCCGGCGCCACTAGGCGGAGGATTAGCCTAGTGAGCCGCGGCGCCGGCCGATAGCTATAAAATTTTTAACTGTTTTAGTTATCATTCAAACGCACTGCAAAAAGGCTAATACCTCTTTTGCATTTGTTAGTTTTGTATTTTACGTCATTTTTCTGAAATCTGTGTAGCTGTATTAATATGTCCTCTTTGGAAGGCAAGCATCCACACCTTTTTTTAAATGACAGTTTTGTGTCTTCTGAAAAGCTCAGGGCAAAATGATGCTCACTGAGGATGGGAGGTGGCTTCCTTTCTACGGTGTTTCTGCAAGGCCCCACCATCTTATCTTTACAGTTGGTCACCTCCTACCCCAATCAGAGTACCCTCACTATGATAGCTGAGGAAGACACAGTGCAAACCCAGAGGTGCCTCAATAGCCACAATTCTCGGGGATGGTGACTTTTTCTTGAATTCTGTAGGTGCAAGCAACCACTGCATAGCACACCATTTGCAACTGTAATTGGCTGCCTTTTCATTTTTTTCTCCAATTTTCACTTCCCCTTAGATGTCTGATTTGGGTTTGAAAATCCATTGTTCCCTGACCTGTTAGGTGGAGGTTCTGACTTTTGGCAGCATTTTTGGAGTCTACGTAATATCCTTTCAAATCTTTCCAGTCACAGTATGTATTAATTATGGATGGTGGTGACAGAGTCCAGGAATAAGTCTAAGGCACTTAATGTCAACAGCGAAGGGCAAATTAGAAAATTTTTATTCAGATGAGTTGGTTCTCCTATTCAGGGCTCATAAGAAATGCAGAGGTTGTCCAAACTGAATACAACGAAATCAGGTTAGTCTTAAATGTGCCTCTATTGAGCCGGCGCCGTGGCTCAATAGGCTAATCCTCCACCTTGCGGCGCCGGCACACCGGGTTCTAGTCCCGGTTGGGGCGCCGGATTCTGTCCCGGTTGCCCCTCTTCCAGGCCAGCTCTCTGCTATGGCCAGGGAGTGCAGTGGAGGATGGCCCAGGTGCTTGGGCCCTGCACCCCATGGGAGACCAGGAAAAGCACCTGGCTCCTGGCTCCTGCCAGGATCAGCGCGGTGCGCCGGCTGCAGCGGCGGCCATTGGAGGGTGAACCAACGGCAAAAGGAAGACCTTTCTCTCTGTCTCTCTCTCTCACTGTCCACTCTGCCTGTCAAAAAAAAAAAAAAAAAAAATGTGCCTCTATGGAAGCCAGTATCATCCCAGAAAGGTCTCTAAAAGATATGTGGATGACATTTAGAGCAGAGAATATTCATGAGCTTTAAAACTCCTCTCTTTCTAAACCAGTTTTGTATTCATGAGGAAGCACTTTCCTTACTGCTGGCACAAAAACAAAGATGGCTCCTTCTCCCCTAGACTGTGGTAAGTTCAGTTATATATGCTCCTCGACTAAGTGAGATAATATAAATTTATTCCTCCTTATCTACATAATCCAGAATTATGGATCATGCTGTAAGAAATTAAACAGCAGCTGGCACTGTGGAGTAGCAGATAAAGCCGCTGCCTGCAGTGGGTGCCAGTTCAAGTCCTGGCTGCTCCACTCCTGATCCAGCTCTCTGCTGTTGCCTGGGAAAGCACTAGATGATGGCCCAAGTGCTTGGACCCTTGCACCCACATGAGAGGCCCTGAAGAAGCTCCTGGCTTTGGGGGTGAACCAGCAGACTGAAGACTTCTCTCTTTGCCTCTCTGTAACTCTGCCTTTCAAATAAATAAAAAAATCTTGTTAAAAAAAGAAACTAAACTAAAAAGCTTCTTTGTTTGCGTTAGAAAAGTGGCAAGAATAAATTAAGCTAAATCCCTACAGGTAATTGCTTATTTGTTGTCTAGTTTCTACCTCATTTTCTTGCTTTATCTTTCTATGACAATTTATTTCTCTAGTAAGTAACTAATCTACTTAGTAGTTATGTGTCCACAACACTGCCCCAAATGAGCTGACTCATGAGAGACCAGGGGCTCTGGGAGTACTGAGGTACACAGTTGGGGCCACCAGCTAGCTAATAACCCCTGAGCCCGGTGTTGGGACCCTGTTTACAGGGCTCAGCAGGGAGACCCACATAGTTCTCTCCCCTGGGATTTTGAATTAAGCCACTCACTTTCCTATCCATTTCCAAAAAGAAGGTAGAGTTTATCCCTGCCGCATGTGACTCAAAGGCCAGCTCCACACAATGCTCTCCATGCACCAACTCGGCCCCTCCACAATGGTCCTGGAGGGTGGCAGGGGCCACTGGGGTTCACTGCTGCTGTGCACAGGGAACCTGGAAGTGAGCAAACACACCAAGCACTCCAGTGTGACTCTTGTGCCACAGGTTCACACAGGGGCATAAGGTGGCCTGAGGGCCAAGACAGAACTCCCTGCATACCTCTCACCAACTGACAACCTGGCCTGGGCTGGGAGTCAGGAACCCCGATTCTAGCTCGGGACCTACCACTGCTCACCTTCACTTGGGCCATGCTGCCAAACTCGCTGGATCTCTACTACTGCTGGCCTGCTAAGTGGAGCAGGGCTTCAAGACTAAACACTAAGTACTCTCAATAGAAATGAAACCAAAGAAGCCTCAGCTGACACCTTCAGGAGTCACCACAGAGACCACAAAGTTCAATCAATGACCACAGATTGAGTTGTAAGCAACCATTCATTGTGATGAATCAAACACAACAGACATTAGTGAGAATTTTTCCTGAATTATTTTATTTTTTTAATTTATTTTTTACTTATTTGACAGGTAGAGTTAGACAGTGAGAGAGAGAGAGAGAGAAAGGTTTTCCTTCTGCTGGTTCACTCCACAAATGGCTGCCATGGCTGGAGCTACAGCGATCTGAAGCCAGGAGCCAGGTGCTTCCTCCTGGTCTCCCATGCGCACGCAGGGGCCCAAGCACTTGGGCCATCCTCCACTGCCTTCCCGGGGCCAAAGCAGAGAGCTGGACTGGACAAGGAGCCACCGGGACTAGAACCTGGCACCCATATGGGATGCCAGCACCGCATGCAGAGGATTAACCAAGTGAGCCACGGTGTCGGCCCCAGATTGTATTATTTTTATCACTTTAATAAGTCTCCTGCTACTTTTCTGTAGCATACTTAATAATATAATTATTTATATTAAGTATACAAATATGTATCTCCTAGCAAAATTAATTTTAGAAAAAAGATAGTTTCGCCATTTGAGGAGTCAACACAAACACAAAAAAAGAAGAAATTCACTCACAAGTGAGATAGAACTATAAATGAACTAAAATTACAGTTTTCTTTTAGAGTTTACTACTTTAGCAAGAACATTTGTTTTAAAACTGCATACCCAGGCAGGTGCTGTAAAGTAGGTGCAGCAGCCTCCTCAACGCTGGCATCCCCTGTGGGTACCAGTTCAAGTCCTGGCTGCTCTACTTCTTATCCAGCTCCCTGCTGATGTACCTCAGACAGCCCAAGTCCTTGGGCTCCTACAGCCATGTGGGAGACCCAATGGAGTTCCTGGCTCCTGGTTTCAGCCTGGCCCAGCTCTGCCCTATGAGGTCATCTGGGGAATGAACCAGCAGATGGATGATCTCTCCCTCTAACTACACCTTTCAAATAAATAAATAAATCTCTTAAAAATATAAAATTGCACATCAAACTTTCCGAAGTTTAAAACTCATTATTCACTTTTTAACAAGAGTGTTATCTGGGCATTCAACTTGCAGGTGGTCCAAAGGTTGAGTTCTCTCTCCATAGATACTCAGGCCTTCTACCTCATATGACCTCCAGGGTAGAGGTTAACCTAGATTTTACTAATTCAATAGCCACAGAAGGTAGTGAACTACTTCTAACAATGACATAACTAAGATTTGTAAAGTAAACAAACAATCTGTCCAATGTTGTATTGTCAGGAAATAAGTTATTTTCATTTAGACATGGTTTACAATGTGAAGTTCTAGGAGTAATGGTGAAAGGCAAAACAAAGTACATTAATAAAAACCTCTTTTGTTCATTTGTAATATTTTTCTATGCCCATATCATAGCAACACATGCAGTGGGCAAGAGTGGGTTCGGCTGCCTGAGTAGTTTATTGTATGTAAAAGGCACAGGAGGAGAGAGATGCTGACACAAATAAATACATAAATATAGTACCAAACGGACTCAGACAGGTGCCATGAAAGCAGTGACAGCAACGAGCTAAGGGGTGTAGAAGAGACAGGCTATTTCTCCCTGGAAGGATGGAGAAAACTTTCCACTGGTCTTACCGGATGGTAGGACTGGAACAGATGCATGGGAACAGGCTGCTACAAGAACACAGACAAAAGGAAGGAGAAGCGTGTGCAGGCTCTGCAGTCAGGCAGGTGTGAGGGAATGCGAATGGGTGAGGAGGTGAAAATGCTGTCAACAAAGCTTGAGCCTGGATCACAGGAGGTCATGAGTATCCAGTCAAGGACTCCACCCCTGACGGAGTCCATCTACCCAAGGGAGTTCATGTGGCAGTAATGGTAACTAGGCTTCCAGAAGATGCCAGACCCAAGTAGAATGGTCTTGAGGAAGTAGATACTCAACCAGAGACCAGTATTACTTCGATGGCACAGATTAGAGGAAGTGAGGACTTGAACAAGCAAAGTTGAGAGGGAGGGAAATATGAGAGCTATTAGGATTGTGGCATTATGGCTTTTAATGACCAATATTATACATACACACATATAATGGAATATAGACAAAGGAAATTTTACAATGAGTTTTCTGGAGAAAGTTTAGAATATTTTCCCCACTGATCTAATTTTTACAATTGAGATTATTTAAAATGTATAGGTAAAAATATCTTTTTTAAATAGGCCCTCATTTTCAAATTCTAAGAAAATTTGCTTTTAACAAAATAATACTCAGTTTTTATAGAAGTGTGTTTGAGGGCGCCGACGCTATGGCAATAGGTTAAGCCTCCACCTGCGGCACTAGCATCCCATACGGACACTGGTTTGTGTCCCAGATGCTCCTCTTCCAATCCAGCTCCCTGCTAAATGCCTGGGAAAGCAGTGGAAGTGGCCCAAGTGCCTGGGCCCCTGCACCTGCATGGGAGACCTGGAAGAAGCTCCTGGTTCCTGGCTTCGGAATGGCTCAGCTCTGGCCATTGAAGGGATTTGGGTAGTGAACTAGCAAATGGAAGATCTCTCTCCGTCTCTCCCTCTTCCTGTCAGCAGCAATGCCTCTCAAATAATTTTTTAAAACGTGTGTTCGAATTTTAAATTAAGGAGAAGAAAAGTTCACTTGTATTTTTTCAGTATAAAGTTTATTTCCAAAATACTAACATCATAAAGTGGCTTTCTGTAGAGAATTTTCTGCCCTCCCTTCAGTTCTTTACGTTTTAAATCCTAAATGATGAGCTCCTACTTATTTGGAAATGAAATTGATGTTCTGCCAGACATTTGCAACCACGTCTTCAACAGCAACAGCTGCTCAGGATTTCAAATCGCTGAGGCTAACAGACTACAGCTAGAGCTCTGGGCAATGACTTTGGGAGAGAGGAAATGAGGAAGACCAGGAAAGCATGTGTAACCAAAGACCACATTTTTTGGCGAGTTATTCACATGTAGGATTCCCAGTTTAAGACTGTGTAGGTGACACACACAGAGTGTGTGCCGCACAAACAGAGCTCAACTTAGGAGGATGACATTTCTATAAAGAAAACTCAGTGTAGCCCTGTTTGCCAGTGACTCTAGTGCTAAACCAGAACTTACCTGAAAAATCCAGCGCACACACCCCTCTCTGGTGTTGTCCTTTCAGCAGTGACAGACATTTTAGAGTCTGGGTGTCCCACACGTGAATAGCAGCATCTCTTCCAACCTTAAACACCAGGAAGACTGTAATTAACCTCTCACAAGTGGAAATATAAGTAATTTTGTTCCTTAGAGTGAAACGCTGCTCAGAAATCAAGAAACACACTTTATCTGGAGTGGGACGAGTCTCAGAAATCACCTGGCTGAACCCCGTTACTGTCCGGGTGAGGCAACTCAGGCAGGAGGCATCTAAGAGGCTGGGGACTGGCAGAACCTGACGAGGCACACGGCTTCCAGTTAAGGGGCTTTCAAGACTCCACTCCAGATGGCTACTGCGCTTTGTTCTCGTCACTTCTGCCTTTCCCTCTCCTGCCTTCTCAACTGCGCACAAGAATCTACTTCCAGGTCAAGGACTGCACCTGTATGTTGTCATGGTAATAGCCACAGAGTTATTTTACCCATTCTCAATTATTTTACTCACCTCAACCAGGCCTACGCCTACTTTTCTCCCTGGGAAATAATAGTTTCAAGGTTTAACTGGCATGAAGGTAGGTTTTTCTTGTGGGGACACACGATAATCATACTCACTTCCAAGAAGAGAAAATTACAGTTAAGAGATTTTTCCTCACATTTAAACAGGGCGGGCAGGGGAAAAGCCACGTTGGCTATGATGACTCTAAAAGTGAAAATCGGAGACAAAACCATGGCCATGACTGAACAGAACCCAGGCAGCTCCTACACTGCCTGTGGAGCCCCAGTCCCCCTAATCTTGTGGCACCTGGCCTACTGATTGCATTGGTTTGCTTCCCAGTCAAACACAGTTCCAGTGACACATGTCCTCAGTGGTATGCAAAGAACCAATCTCTGTTTTCTTGTTTTTTTTTTTTTTTTTTTTTTTTTTTTTACTTAAATCCCCATGAATCATGCATCATCCATAAGAAATACCCCATCCCACCAAAGTCAAGTGAAAAGGCAAAACAAGGACCAATTACTAACAAAATTTAACAATGTGAGCTAATGCAGAATAGATGCTATCTATTTTGGAGCTGGAGATACAGCCAATCAGTGTACAAACCAATGCATGTTATCTTCTGGGGAATATTTTACAATACTATAAAAAGCTATGGATCACCTTCCTCCTCTAAATGCACCTTTCTGGGGGCTGACTCCCTCCATGCTCTCAATTTTATTCATGGATCTTACACACCCTGTTGAAAAAGCTTTCACTACCTGTATGGCAAGATCCAGAAATAGTCAGGGTTTAACTGTTCCATATTAAATTTTCACATTGTACCACATTTTCTTTTCTTGGAACCTGGCCCTTAGATATTAAGCATCAGCTTAATATTTAATTGCATTACTTGCAATTAAAAGCCTATGCTAAAAGGGAACAAAACCATATTCTACACACTTGAGAAAGATTCTAAAACTGAAAACAGTTATATAATATTAGCTTTCCAGAAAGATATCTGGCCCTAATACATGATTTCTTTACTAAACTGACTTTATTCCTCAATTTTCACCCCAAAATGAATAGACGGCCCCTGCTTTGAGTAGCTTTTCAATTAAAAAACAGTTCAGATCAAAATTAGTTTTTTCATGCTTAAATCAATTAGTTAATATTCTGATGGTTTTAACTTTTACAAAAATAACTGTGTTATTCTAGAGTTAAAATGTTGTTCATTCCATAAATGTTTATCAAGTACCTAGGATGTACTGCGACCTGGGGAAACAGTGATATGAAAATACATAAAGCTGCTCATTCATACAGCTTCCACCATAGGAATGTCAGCTGGTCCCATTCATTGATCTCATCACCTCAAGAAAATTATCCCTCGGAGGCCTCCCAATAGAGCCAGAACACATGGGCTGACTCTCCAGTCGTCATGGAAGGACCCAAGGCACAATGAAGCCTTAGCTCCCTGCCTCATGTTTATTTCTATCAAACACTTCTTGAATTTCTGACATGGTAACTGGTTTCAAAAGTAGGTCCTGTTTGGCTAGGGCCCTGGTATTCGCAGACAAATATGTACCTGCCCAGTGGCCACATAGTCCTTCACAGGGTGGATGGTCAGGCTGAGGATGTCGTCATCGTGCCCCAGGTACAGCCGCTGCGAGTGTTGTTGCCTGTTGTACACGACAGCCACCGCAGCAATGTGGTAGACCACTTCTCCAGCTTGAGTGTAGAAGAGATTGTTTCTACAGTCATAGCCTCTGTAACTGAAGCGAGAAACGCACAGCTGCTGAATGCGCAGTGACTGACTGGGAGTTGTCAGAGGTAAAGCCGGGTTCATGAACGTGTGCACGTGGAACCCCAGGTATCTCCTCAGTCACATGGAATGGTGATGCTGACATGGGCACCGAGAACCCCCGAGGGCGGGCAGGTGCACAGGCACTGATTATTTCAATGCAATCTGTTCCCAGCTCCTCAGCCTCCAGATGTGTTCTCACTGGTCTGAGACAAGGCACAGGTTACCTGCTCTCATCTCCCCTCTCACAGATGCCTTCCTCTCACTTTAGAAGCCACTCTCTTTGTCCATCGGGAATCTTAACAATGGTTCCTTACCCTGGGTCACAGAACTGTCCAGGAGCACCAAAACTAAGGGACAGCACAAATACAAGTGTGGATACTGAAAAATGAACAAGTCTAGTGACTGGCTAAGGAATCTTTTGTGCAAGTCAGTTGATGGTTATTAACAAAATTGAACATGGACTTAATTGTCAGCAGATAATTACTATTTTTTGTGATCAAAATGAAATGAAAATGTGACTTTCTGGAGTCTATAATACAGAAGGAATTTAAAAGAATGAGTAACATTTATTTACTATTATAAAATGATCATGAAATAGTTTATTATAAAATTATTTCATATTATAAAATTACTCTCATACTCACTGACTAGTTATGAGAATAAACTTTCTCAGTGGCTTGCTCTGCCACATTCTACCAATACATAATATTACAGATGCACTAACTGAAAAAATTCCATCTTAATAATTTTCAACAAAAATTTTCTGTACTTAACATGTGTCATAATTTGCAATGTATTTTTGCTGACTTAGTAAAATTTCACTACCAATAATTATAATTTAATCTAAAAACACTGTTGACACCAGCACCATCTAATAGAAATATGCAAGCAGTATCACTTAAAATCTCTAGTTGTCACATTAAAAAAATGAAAAAAAACTTTGAAATTTATTTCAGTAATGTATCTTAACACAATACATCTAAAATGTCATAATCAATATAAAAACACTCCAGTAAAAAATTTTTCTCAGGCTAAGTCTTCAAAATTGGTGTACATTTTTAGAGACAGCACATCTCATCTCAAATTACATTTTGAGTGCTCAGTAGCCACACTGCACAGGACTGAGTCTTCAAGGTTACAGGAAACAATTTAAATTGAACTTGTAGATTTTTTTTCTTGGAGAAGGTAAGATACATTGACAAAAGATTCTCAAGTAGGAAAACATTATGTTAGAATAAAAATTTATGAGAGAATTAGAATGGAAATATGAGTTTAAGTAGAAGTATGAATGATGTAAAATGCTCTGTTATAGAAGCACATATTAATGTATTTTAAAATATTCATGTATTTTAAAAATTAATAGTGCAAATCAAATATGTATGGTATCCAGGTTCCACTGGAGCCTTTTAATTATCGTCTTCTCAACCATTTAAACATACACTGAAAAATTTCAGATGTCAAATTGAAATGTGTAAAGATATATATTATTTTACAAAATCCAAAATGATGTTGGGCATTTAAGAAAAACCATTTAAAGAAAACAATGTCAGGTTAGAACTAGCAAAATAGAGCAGGGGATTCTGTGAAGAGAGGAAGGGAGGTGGTGGTGGTAAGGCAGAGAAGTGGCAGAGAGAACAGTAGCAGCTGGGCCACAAATGGCGTGCGGTTTAATTCAAAAGACCGTCATATTGTGACAGCCACAGGACATGCACTGAGCACACAGTACAGGCAATCAGTTAAAATATCCACCCCAAGTCTGAGTGCAAGTTGGAAGGAAACCGCCAGCCTGCAATTGAATCATTCACATAAAGCCTGATGAGAGCGCTGCCCAGGGCTTGGCAGAGGCAGGGAGGAGGATGCACCAGGTCCCCAGGACCCACCCGTGGATGAACTGGAGTTTCAAGCTGTCCTCGGGAGCCTTTTCTCGTTTGAGGAAGGGCACTGCGTGGTTTTTCTCTTTGCTTTGTTGCTTTAGCTGAGGTAGATCTTCTTTGTAAACCTTAAAGCACAACACAGGCATTTAGCTGAGCTGCCTTCCTTCGGCTTTCAAAACATCAATATCTCAGCACTCTTGGAAAGCCTTTAACTGCTTCCCCGCACCACTCTTGAAAACATAAGACATAAGATCAAATATTACTTTCTCCTAAGAAAGCACGAAAATTTTTAAAGTGATTTTTTTTAGGCAATTTACTTCTAGAAAATATTCAGCTGATATGCTAGTAAGCAGTTCTTCAAGTTATTGATAAAACAAATATTTGTTTATTTTTTATTTTTAAAACAATTTTTTTTAATTTCTTCTAAGGCAAGAAATCATGTCATGATTCTGACACTTGCAAAATGGGGACTTTGGGAGCCACGGTGATTTCTTTTCTAGAACCATTCTTCGGAAGTATCGTCCTGTCATAGCCTCACGCATTTTGACAGGTAAGAGTGAGATCCAGAGCACAGCTCACTTCCTTGGCCTAACCTGGGACTGAAAACTGCTGCTGAGAGAATGCTTAGTTCCTCCAATATAAATATATGTAAAAATCAGCATTATTTATCACATATCTATGCTCTACAATTAAGAAATATCAACTTAACACAGTGAAATAGAAATACAGTCTGTTAATTTCTCATCTTCATGATAGAAAATATGTTTTAGCTTTCTATTTATTTAAGAGACAGACACACTTCTGCTAGTTTGCTCCTAAAATGTCTGCAGTGGCTGGGGCTGGGCTGGAGCCAAAGCCAGGAGCCAGGAACTCCATCCAGATCTACACCACTACTTGAGCTGCCTCCCAGGATCTGCACTGGCAGAAAGCTGGGGTCAGGGGCCAGAGCTGGGAATCAAACCCAGACACTTTAATCACTTGGCTCAACATCTTCTCCTGCAGAATAGTTTCTATCTGATCAAACTGCATCGCTTGTAATAAAAGTCTTTATTTAGGATTTGACCAGAGATCAATTAAAAAAATGAAAGAGTACATCTTACTTGTTTTAAGTCTGCAATAGACACAATGAATCACTCACTTAAAAATCTAAATCATTCATGTGAACTCATAATACTTTCTCCAGCATCAGTTGTTTATTGAACAGCACCAAATTCTAGTCTTTGGTATTCTGTTGGGTGTGTCAAGTTTCCTAACTTCTGTGGACCTCAAATTCCCATCTGCAGAATGTGAAGAGTCCGTGCCAAGGACTAACTCAGGAACATAGCAACCATAAATCAAATCACATAGGCGATAGCACTGAAAACACATTAACAGAGAGGATTTACCTTTCCTTTGTTGTTGTATCTTTTTTATTCTTTATTTTTTTTACAAAAAAAAATCTTTGCAACTAATGAAAGTATCTTTTCTTTTTTTCCTAAATCTTATGCTTATTTTGCTTAAATTTCATTTCCCCTTCATGTTAGGGTATATCATTTGTGTGCTATTTCCACATTAATAATTTCTTTTCAAATCCTTTTATTCAGTAGTTGTATTATACAACTTACTTGATCAACACAAAAATTATCAAGCTAATTTTGTGGTGAAGTTGACACAGGCATAGATGGACTGCCTTTGTACTAATCCAATCTTCTAAACCCCAAGTGCCAATTATGGACAGAAAAAATTTAATAATCTGAAACATAATAAATTCAGTACTTAGACAAAGCACATAGTGTATAGAAAGTGTGGCCGGCACTGCAGCTCAATAAGCTAATCCTCCGCCTGTGGCACCGGAACACCAGGTTCTAGTCCCAGTCAGGGCACCGGATTCTGTCCCAGTTGCTCTTCTTCCAGTCCAGCTCTCTGCTGTGACCCGGGAGTGCAGTGGAGGATGGCCCAAGTGCATGGGAGACCAGGAGAAGCACCCGGCTCCTGGCTTCGGATCAGCGCGGTACGCTGGCCGCAGCGGCCATTTGGGGGGTGAACTAACGGAAAAGGAAGACCTTTCTCTCTGTCTCTCTCTCTCACAGTCTAACTCTGCCTGTCCAAGAAAAAAAAAAAGTGTGCTTTGTAGACAAATCCAGATCATCACTTGAAAAATATATATTATTTGAAAGGCAGAGAGAGACAGAGAACTCCCATCTGGTAGTTCACTCCTTAAATGCCTATAACAACTATGGCCCAGGCTGAAGCCAGGGATCAAGAACTGAATCCAGGTCTCCCACATTGCTGGCTGGGACATAATTACTTGAGCAGGAAACTGGAAACTGGAGCCAGAGCTAGGAATTGAAACCAGGCCTTGGATATCGAATGTGAGCGTCCTAAGCAGTATCTTCACTGCTGTGCCAAACCTCCACCCCTGAGCATCCCTAACACCACTGCGATGTCAAAGTTAACCTCTCAGAGTTACTATGGGGCTGGACTTGACATGCACAAAACACAGGATCTGGGCCTCAGAGATACTCAATACACAGTAGCTGCCGCAGGTATGTATGGCAAGTCTCCATGAACAATACTGATGATGGAGCAAAGACAAAAAGCTTTAGATCCATCTTGATCTCTCACCTACATACAGCAAGCAGGCCCCCATTTCTCTGCCCTGCTAATGCAGCCCCACCCTGCCTGGACTGATGGACACTGCACTATCTGGGGAGTGCAGCCGTAGTTTGAGCTCTCCCCTCTCCTCCCAAGCTCTCTCCCTCCAGCTCAGCCCCAGAGTCCAGCCTCAGCCTCAGCCCAAACCCCTCCCAGCTCACACTGTGATCTCACGAGACCTTTAGACCACGCCCAGTTCTTCCTCTATCTTGGCAGCCCAGCTTGAGCTCAGACCCCCAAGCCCCTTCCCGCCACTTAGTACTATATAAACCGCTAGTCTGTAAGGGAGGGGCTCTCTCTCTCTGCTAGGTGTTCGCTGGCAACTCTGCTGTGCGTTCACCTGGGAGTGAGCCCCTCCCAGGCTTTATTCTTGTGAATAAGCCTGGTCTGGCTTTGGCTTCATATTGCATCTCTTCTTTCCTGAAAATTGACAGTTGACACATACAAAATCTGATGTCTTATTCAGTCCATGTTCATGTATGGAATCTGCTGTGCATGCCTTTGTTAAACAACAAGGAAGAAAACAGAACCCCACCATTACCACCACACCAAGGCCACTAGTCTAGGCGCCTGTGAAGGATTACTCTAGTACTTACTGTTTAGTGCCAAATGAAACCGCAGCCTCCAAAAAAACTTAGACATAAGTGATCAACCTTTCTATTACCGATGATTTCTTACCAGAGGAGAATACAAATTGTATTGGGCTTTTCCTTTCATTAAAAAGATAATTACTTTAATTAAATAGATAACGGTCAACTTGAGTTAGAGAAACCAGGATAACAGCTCCCGGGTAAACTCCTATGCTTCAAGGTACCCATCCTGCAAAGCACACCCATGCTTCCTTTTTTTTTTGACAGGCAGAGTGGACAGTGAGAGAGACAGAGAGAAAGGTCTTCCTTTGCTGTTGGTTCACCCTCCAATGGCCGCTGCGGCTGGCGCGCTGCGGCCGGCACACCGTGCTGATCTGATGGCAGGAGCCAGGTGCTTCTCCTGGTCTCCCATGGGGTGCAGGGCCCAAGCACTTGGGCCATCCTCCACTGCACTCCTGGGCCACAGCAGAGAGCTGGCTTGGAAGGGGGGCAACCGGGACAAAATCCGGCACCCCAACCGGGACTAGAACCCGGTGTGCTGGCGCCGCAAGGCGGAGGATTAGCCTAGTGAGCTGCGGCGCCGGCCCCATGCTTCCTTGATCTGCTAAGAAAATGAAAAAATCCTGAGCTGATTTGTACAATTTTCTGAAAAAAAAATTACAAATTTAGGTGTTAGGGAAGCAAAAGGCCCACATGTCATAGGTTCAGTTTTTCATGATATGATCCAGTAAATATTTTTTAACCCGTATTTAAAGGCAAAAAGTAGGCAATTTTCCTGACTTTCGCCTTAATTCCCTTTTGATGAACTACCTGCCATTTTTAGCTCAATGTTCAAATCCAGTGAGATCCAGGTTCTGGGTTATGCATTTCCATTGCTCTCTGTTCACTGACCTGGCGATCATAATTGATTTGAGTTTCTTGTTCAATATCAGAGTCCAACTCGGGCACATCAGATAAGTCCGAATCCGATTCTTCACTGTAGGAATCAGTGCCACCTTCTGCAGAAATACAACCCATAAGAAACAAGCAAACATCCTGACTCTAAATACCTACAAATATTAAAATATTTTCTTCTACCAAAATTAAACAATGAAAAAACCCTACACCATGGTTTTCATTTAATAAAGATTCTAAAATCACCTGTTGTCTTTTTCATCTTTTGCCTAAGTTCAGCTGACCCCTCGTCCCCATTCAGGAGCATTAACAGACTAGGGCAACTTTCTCCCTGGTGAAGACTAAACACAGGTTCTTATCTCTGTTAGACAGATCCTTGTGTTCTAAACCTTGCTTTGAAAAATATAAAAGGGTAGGCTAGGGGGTGAGGGATGCAAAAGGCAATCCAGCCAGCTATGTCAGTGAAGATCCCCTGTTGACTTTGAACAGGTGCACCCTGGTAATTGCTGTGGTCAAAACCTCTGCAGAACCCTTCCCAATAAACTCATTTATCTCCAAGAGTATTTTCATCTTATTACTGGCTCATTCCTGCTCACAGCACAATGCGTTTAAAAATGAAAGGGCTCCAAGTCCACTGAACCAAATAATTGTGGCCCATTCTTTGAACACCACTCCAATTTCCATTCCAAAGGGGACCCTGTCACCCTGCAGCCAGGCTAAGCAGGGCCACCGCCCCTCACAATCATCCTAAGGAGGCTAAGAGACCTGCTTTCATCTCTTCCTCAAAGGCTGATTCTTCACAAAGCCTTAGACTTCAACTTGCATTTGGTAAAAGCAAAAGCCGTTTGAAGTGAATTGTTCAACTGACCTATGCTAGTCTGGAAAATGTCTTCTAAAATGTTTAAAATTTATAATAGGGATCAATTTTTAAAGACTTGCGGTAGCTTTTTACCTCCAAAAGAGATGTTAAAAGGTTCCTTGAAATGTTTATTGAAAAATTATGACTCGTTTTACCCTGGGGTGCGGTTTCCAGCATGCCGTTGCTGACACCTTCTGGAATAAACCTCCACTGGAAGACGGAGTGGTCGGCCCCACCAGTGCTTAACACCCACTGAAAGTCATGGGACCAGCGCACATTTGTGACATGTGCAGAATGGCCCACATACTTTCTAAATTTGGCTCCTAAAAGACAATTTTGAGGAAAATATTAGTTATACCAAAAAGAGAATTCATAAGTTAAATATAAATCACATTCCTATTCGCATGGCAGTCAAATCTTTACAAATATTAGGAAATAATTTCGAGTCTTACAATAGCATAACACGCAGACATAACACAAACATCCAAAGGATGCCTCAATTATTCCAATAAGCATGAAGCCAAACATGAGTCTGAAAATTTAAGCCTGTAAAGAGATTGTTGAATCTGTTCCAAATAATGCCTACTGCTTCACTGGTTCTGAAAATACATGATGAAGGTACATGGTACACATTCTTAAAATGCAAGGTACAATAGGCAGTGCCTTGCGATAGAGAAAGTAATTCTGTGAAAATAAAAGTCAAATTACTGTTTGGGGTTGCGTACATATGTATACAATTGGTAGATTTAATTTTAGGGGTTTTAAGTTGGTTGCTTTACTGAGCAACACCATCGCCAAGTAAGGAATTCAACACAAGACGCTCTCTGAAGTTGTGTTTGTGACTGAATTATCACAGTGAAGTCTCCAGTGTGTGTTTAGCAAAGCAGCCGTATGCAGGCACTCATGCTAACGAGCAGGGTGCACAGTACCCATCGTACATCTTCTGTGGAGGCCTAATTCAGAAGTCCATGGGAGACTCTGGAGCACCATTAAGCACTCACAACCCCTTCACTGTTCCTCTTCAATGGAGGGGGAAGACCATCTGTTCAACTACTGCATGTTTAAAATTCAAATCCCGACTGGAGAGGCAATGATTAAACTTAGATGAAGGTGAAAATGACCATTGCATGCCCCATTCTTGAGAACCCGTGAGGCTGTGACACCACAGATTCCCACACAGATGAAGGGCAGGCTGCTGCCCAAGAGAAGGAAGCACTGGGCCTCCAAAGCCACCTTGCCTGTTGCCACGAGTCACCCTTATCAGTTTTAGTGATGAAGTCAAACAGATTTCAATTAAGGTCAGTTGGAAATGCCAGCTGAGGATAATTCAGTAGTGGGGAGTAGGGGATATTCTTCCCCTATTTCCGTAGTTCTTGATTCGCTGGGCTACCCTCTGCTCACAAATTTATATCCTCCTCAGAGATCATTCAACATGTCTGTTCATACGGGTTTAAAAATATGTCCACAAATACTCAATATGAAGCCAAATGAAAATAATATGGCATAGTTAAAGGTATGACATGTAAGAGGTCATAAAAAGTACTGCAGAGGCTCCTGGTCCTCTTTGTTGGATTTCCATACACCGTGCTGTAAGGAGACTTACGTGGCAAGCTCCTGAGGCCTCCTGCCAGGAGCCAGGTGAGTGAGAAGAAGGGGATGCTCTGGTCCCAGTGTAGCCTTCTGTTGACATCAGCCCTCTCAGAGATCTTGAACTAGAACCACCCAGCTGAACTGCTCAAGAATCCCCAACCTCCAGAAGTCAAGGAATTATACACTATTGGTCATTTAAGATACTTACTTTGCTATGCAGCAATAGGTAACTAATATACCCTTGGTAGGCTGGAACAAGTACCTGCATACACACTGCTGTCACAGGGGTGGCAAACCTGTATAAAGCCCATGAAATCATTTCATCTGGCCCTGCCAAGGCAATCACTGGCAGGACTCAAAACGCAATACATTTATAGCAGGCTAATTTTTAAGTTGATGGGTTTGTATGGCCCGTGGATGATGTTACCGATATCCAATGGCCCTTGGCAGACACAAGATTCCCCTCCCTCATTTAGGTCACATCTCTGATCTTTCTCTGCCCCCAGCACACTGGCCCCTTTGCCATTGCCCAAGTCTGACTCCAGGCCCTTGCCCTTGCCCGTGCCCTCTCTGAAATGCTCTTTTTTCACATGCCTGAATGTCTGGTTCCCTCAACTCTTTTTTTTTTTTTTTTTTTTTGACAGGCAGAGTGGACAGTGAGAGAGAGAGACAGAGAGAAAGGTCTTCCTTTTGCCGTTGGTTCACCCTCCAATGGCCGCCACGCTGGTGCGCTGCGGCCGGCACACCATGCTGATCCGAAGGCAGGAGCCAGGTGCTTCTCCTGGTCTCCCATGCAGGTGCAGGGCCCAAGCACTTGGGCCATCCTCCACTGCACTCCCTGGCCACAGCAGAGAGCTGGCCTGGAAGAGGGGCAACCGGGACAGAATCCGGCGCCCCGACCGGGACTAGAACCTGGTGTGCCGGCGCCGCAAGGCGGAGGATTAGCCTATTAAGCCACGGCGCCGGCCCTGGTTCCCTCAACTCTTGTAGGCTTGCAGTCAAAGGGAACTCTAACAGCAGCCCCCGTGACCGTCCTATTTAAACAGCAGTACCATACTGCCGCACACCTGCATTCTCTACTCTCATTACTTGCTTTATTTTTCTTCTTTCAGGTCTGTTTATTCTGTGTATGTGTATTGACCATGACCCCTCACTAGAACAAAAGCTGTATGATCACAGGTATTTCTGCTTGTTTTATTTACTGATCTATCTCCATCCTCTAGAATACAACTTGGATTTTATTGAAGACTTGAAGGCCATGTCTGTGTTTTTTAAGACTTTCCTTAAGACACTGGATAATTGTATAAGATCTCCTTTTTCCTCTGCACCACACAGAGAGCTCAGGCCTCCACCCTCATCATTCTTCTGCCGATCTTCTCTGCCATGATTTTGAGTACTGTCAATGTACCTGCGACTGCCACACGTTTCTCTCTCGCCTTCTACTCTCCCTGGAGCACCAACAGTGCATGTGTCACACCACCTGGATGTCTAACAGGTACCTCAGCGTATCATGAACAGAACAGACTGAGAAGTTAGTTCCCGTTCCCTTACTTCTCTACCCTCTCACATCCATAAAACGAGGACAGCAAAGGCCAAACCTCTCCCATTTTCCCATCTCTATAAATAGGGCCAGTGCTACCCGTTGCTCAAGGCCAAAACCCAGGAGTCACACTTGATGATTTTTTTTCTCTACTCCCATATCCAATTCAGAAGTGAGACTTGCAGCTTTCCCTTCAAACTGCTTCCAAAATCCAGCAGCTCCGTTTGTACATGTCCAAACCACATCAGCTGTCACGGGGCCTCCCCTCCCTGACACAACCACACAGTATCAAAATTGTCTTTAAAACACTTACATTGATCACAGTACTCCTCCACTGAAAAGCCTCAATATGGATTTCATTCCACTTAGAGTAAGACATCTAATAAGACTTTTCTCTCCTCATTCATTTTGCTCCCGTCACACAAGCCTTCCTGTCCCTGCACTTACTAAGCTCAGCCAAGCTGTATTACAGGCCAACACTTTCCTCTCCAGGGTTCCAAGTTCCAACAACTCAATTCTTACAATACCCATGACATTTGTCCCGGGTGTTGGCTGTCTGTGCAAAGCATTAATGGAATGGGAACACATAGGTGAAACAGAGAGCCTCAGCCTCTGAGTAGGGGTGGGTATCGAGGTATCTAAAATCCGACAAACGTCAACAAACAAGCCTTTGAGCGCCACCAACATGGCAAAAAGTCTAAACAGGAGGTGGCATCAAGAACTGTCAGTATTGATTCTATATATTTTAAGATTTGAAAACTGTCAAAATGAGAAACACAATTGGTTTGATTAGATAAAAATAACACCAGTTGCAGAAATTTTCATTAACTGTAGTGCACTTCTATCTAATTACTGTGCAAAAGAACATTGCCTATATAACTGCAATGTGTCGAAGGAACTTGACACAGCAAAAACCTGCTTTTTAATCACAGTAAAAACTATAATGTGTGCTCAGTGTTCTCTCCTGTTCATCTATTGCTATTTACAGGTTTGAAACTTGGAGGATGGGGTGGAGATATAAGTTGAGTATCCCTTATAAAAATGCTTAGACACAAGTATTTCAGATTTCATGTTTTTCCATATTTTAGAATATTTACATATATATGGTGCAATAACTTGGGGATGGACCCAAGTCTAAACATGAAATTAATTTATGTTTCATACATACCTTATGTACATAGCCTGAAGGTAATTTTATACAACTTTTTGAATACTTTTTTGCACAAAATGTCACGGTGTGAAATGTTCCATTGTGGCATGACGTCAGCACTCTCAAAGTTTAGGATTTGGGAGCATTTACAGTTTTGGATTAGGAATTTGGATGTTCAACCTGTACTAGTCATTATACTAGATCATTAAAAAACACAAGTTCCACCAACTGTTCCTACTCCCACCAATAATTCTCACTTTAGTATGAACTCTCTCAGTTTTGGCACTAAAGGACTCAAAACCTGACTGTGAGGCAAATTTCAAGCTTCATAAAGCATATGTCATGAAACAGAGGGTGAATCCATTTGCTGTGAAGGCACGGATGCCTCTGCAGCCTGCTGAGGCCTGCAACACTGTCACTCTGGCTGTCCGTCTCTCATTCATTCAGACGCCTGTGCGAGCCATTATCCATGGGGTTTTCATTTACGGGTGTCTCATAAAGGGCAGCATTACTCACCCCCTCTCTGCTCTAATAATAGATCCACGCTGTCTTCGCTGTTTCCCAGATCCAAGCCTACCTTACAAGGCTTGGAGACACATAGGAGACATCAACTGTCACTGAGTTAATTTTATTCCCAAGTTCTCAGTGCAGACCAATAGTACTGCTTCTGATTCCAATGGTGTGTCTTCTGAATTCCAAGATTCCCAGACACACTCTGGCTGTCTTGTTTACCTTCTGCAGTATATTACTCCATCTAACAAGATATATATGCCCTATTACTCACCAGGCCCATTAGAGTTAGAATTTGGCACACTGAGGTAATTTTGTGCCTCGAGCATTTTAAACCCATGGCCATTTTGTCAAGTGTAAGTGATGGTGGTTTTGCTATGCATTTTATGTTCCATTCTGTACCATAATTGTCACTGCTTCAAAACTGCTAGTTAGCTGAAAATGACTTTCTGATTACATTTCCAATCCCTTTCCTTGCTTAATTTAAAAACCATTCAAGTGAAAGACTTTTCAGGCAGCAGCATGTCCTTGCTGATTACTTTGCTAAGATCAGATTTTCAGGTCACAGTTACGTCTCACTAGACCCTGGGCAGTGGCTTTGCCTAAACTTGCAAAAGAAGTGGGTGGGGTCATTCCATGGTTTGCAGTTACATCCTATAAAACTTGAAGGTGTAGAGTCATTGAAATGATATGGTTTTAACAACAAAAAGACAAAACCAAAACATGAGGGCAGATAACGTTGATTTGAATCAAGCTCTCTCCAAAATTTCACCAGTTATGTAAATCTGGCACAAAGTTAGTGCTATGACAAGGGGTCCATAAACTGTATTATCATCGAAACCGTTCCTTTCAGATATGATTTTAATTACGTCTAAGAGGATTTGCTTTGCTTTTCCATTGACAAGCACAAGCAATCATGAAACATAAAACAATTTTAATTATAAAATCTAATGGGATATATACAATTTAAATCATGAACAGTTGACATAAATAATAAAACATGATTTGTTCAAGATGTGAAGCATAAGTTTATAAATCACAAAATGACAAGTAATAATAATTAAAATTTTGGCTTAAGTTTCAAAGCTTAGAATGTCAAAAGTAGCAGACAACAACACAGTCTACCCTAAACTGGAGAGTAAATGAACATGACTATTCAAGGTAAAATGAACAATGTGCTAGAAAAGACATGAAAAAAATAACCTTTAAACTACATATATAGTCTAGAGGGGATAATGATTCCACGAAATATTTCTTTGGTCTTACCTTTCTTTAGACAAGGAAATTTAAATAATTTAACCAGTCCAAAATCATCTCCAGACACCAGCACTGAGCTATTGTAATTTGCATCCACGGAGTTGATGTCTGTAACCTCAGTGTATTTTGGCCAAATTCCACTCACTTCGGGACCTTTCACACATGTCCAGGAAGCCCAGGGAATCCCTTTAATTTCTTCTTTACTTGTTAAAGGCTTCCCAGCTGAAACAAAACCAATAAAATACTACAAGTAAATAAAAAGCATATTTACTTCACTTTATGCATTTTTCTGATAGAGATCTAAAACATTTTAAATGTGTTTCTATAAATTATGGAAACTATAGATTCTAATCCCATTACCTGGTTTGTGATTCTTTTGGTGAGAGGAGTAGGATTTAAAGCAAGCACATGCTCAAGACTCAGTTAAGAAAAGTGATCACTGTTAAATATAAGAGTAGGAATAAGAGAGGGAAGAGATATGCAATTTGGGACATGCTCAAGCTGACTTGCTCCAAACGGTAGAGTTAGAAACATACCAGGGGATTCCAATTCAATCACATCAAGGTGGCATGTATCAATGCCATCTCACTAGTCCAAGTGATCAATTTCTGTTCACAGTTGATCATAATGATAGGACTAAGAGCCAAAGGGATCACATAAACAAGACTAGTGTCTGCAAATACTAACTGATAGAATCAAAAAGGGAGAGAACGATCCAACATGGGAAGTGGGTTACACAGCAGACTCATAGAATGGCAGATGTCTTAAACAGCACTCTGGCCTCAGAATCAGCCCTTAAGGCATGCGGACCCGGCTGAAAAGCCCATGAGAGTATTTCAGGCATGGAAAGCCAAGACACTCTGGCAAAAAAAAAAACAAAAAAACAAAAACAAAAACACAAACCCTAAATGAAAGATCTCTGCAAGTGAGATCCCAGTGGAAAGAACAGGTTATCAAAGAAGGAGGTACCTTTCTCTGAAGGGAGGAGAGAACTTCCACTCTGACTACGACCTTGTCTAAATATGATCAGAGTCAGTGAACTCAAAAGGCTTCCATAGCCTTGGCAACTCATGACAAGAGCTTAGGATGATTACTGATGCCATAAACAAGAGTGTCAACTTGTTAAGTCAACAACAGGAGTCACTGTGCACTTACTCCTCATGTAGGATCTCTGCCCTTAATGTGCTGTACATTGTGATTTAATGCTATAACTAGTACTCAAACAGTATTTTTCACTTTGTGTTTCTATGTGGGTGCAAGATGTTGAAATCTTTACTTAATGTATGCTAAACTGATCTTCTGTATATAAAGAGAATTGAAAATGAATCTTGATGTGAATGGAAGGGGAGAGGGAGTGGGAAAGGGGAGGGTTGCAGGTGGGAGGGAAGTTATGGGGGGGGAGCCACTGTAATCCATAAGCTGTACTTTGGAAATTTATATTCATTAAATAAAAGTTAAAAAAAAAAGACTCAGTTAAAAGGAGAAAAGAAAGGATGTTTATAAATGGATTATCTCTAACCATGCATATTTACCTGACCTTAATTATTCAGATACTGTGATGTTATGCTTTGCATTACTGATGAGATGACTTTTATTCCTTATTATCAATTTTATTCCCAACATTTTGCTAGATTTTAAAACTTTGGCTAAACATCAAGTTTTCATAAGATACTTAGAAATGATTTTTTAAATTCAGACTCAGTAAATTAATAAATGGACAGACTTTGTTACTTCAAGGTTCTAGGCCCTGAAAACCCACAAAAATTACACTGAAAGCAATGTTACTGTTTGGGGCCAACAAGCCCTACAATTGTGTCGAGTACGGGTCAAATGTGGAGCAATCCCCTGTTTCCACCAGCAGGGTAGGGAAGTCCACAGGCAGCAAATAAGAGAGAAAATAGATATTTGGGGAAATGCTTAGTCACACAGAATTTTTTCAAAATGAAGACAATTAAGCAGGGGTGGACATTGTGGCACAGTGGGTTAAACCACCACTTGGCATGCCCAAATCCTGTATCAGATTGTTGGCTGGAGTCTCAGCTACTCCACTTCGAATGCAGCTTACTGCCAATGCACCTAGGAGACAGTAGATGATGATGACTCAAGTATTTGGGTTCCTGCCACCCCTATGAGAACAGAATGCAGCTCCTGCCTCCTGGCTTCAGCATGGCCCAGCCCTGGCTATTGCAGGCATTTGATGAGTGAACCAGCAGATATATTTCTCTCTTCTCTTCTCTCTGACTTAAATAAATCTTCTTAAGAAGACAATTAAGTGCAGCTGGCACTGTGACATCAGGGGTTAAGCCTCTGCATACAACGCCGGTATCCCAGATGAGTGTCGATTTGTGTCCTGGGATCCAACTCCCTGCTAACGTGCCTGGGCAAGCACAGGAGGATAGCTGAAGTGCTTGGCCCTCTGCATCCATGTGGGAGATATGGATGAAGCTCTTGGCTTCAGCCTGGACCAGTATCAGCTGTTGCAGCCATGGGGGGGGGGGGGGGCTGAAAGATCTCTTTCTCCCTAACTCTGCCTTTCAAATAAGAATCTTCTAAAAATAAAAAAGTATGTTTCTTCATACTTTCCCTCTGAAAATAAACAAATATTTTCAGATGAACAGTCTGTGAGCACAGATGCACTGATATATCACTCTGTGCAGTGTCAAATTGACACCAAAAATTGTAGAGTGCACCAAGATTTTATATAAAGTTCATTTCAAAGACTATGGAATCAGAGAGTCTATAGTTGGAATAGAGTCTTAGATTTAGTATTCCTGCTTTAAAGATTACAGCCCCAGAAAGTAACTAAGAAAAATCTTCTCTTACACAAAGGTATTTGGAGGTGCATTACTTAGACTAGCCAAAAAACTGAAAATAAACCCAAATACCTACTAAGTTCTGTTATGATAAATGAGGTCAGAACTCATGTTAAAATTTCCCTCTTATAATCAAAAATTCATTAGTCAAAGACTATGATAATTTGTGACATTTTAGTATTATAAACTAAATGTTACTGATTATTATGCCATATGAATCTCATAAAAGTTACAATGGGAGCCCAATGAACAAATTTAAACAACAAAAAAATCACGTAAGAACTTCCAATTATGAGGAATTCCGATTCAAGAGGAAGCACAGTCACAGTAAACGAGGACCATGCTCCTGAAGTATCTGAGGACCAACATCTCGAGATACTGTCTTGAAGTTCTAAGGTGACGCCAGGGAGTTTCTAATTCTCCCAGGGACTATCTTTTCTAGTTTCCATGGACTATCCTGCTTCTTTTCACCTCTGAGAGTAAACAGTCTTCCTAATGATCATAGTATCTCCTACTCTGGCCTTTGATAGGAGAACTACTGCCTGGCAAGCTAAAACCCGCAGATCATACTTCTAGCTCATTTCCATTCATTTCTAACCCTGCTACAGAACTGTGTGCACAAAGCATCAATACAAGTATTACAACTATTTCACATTATCATCACTAACTTACTCAACCTTTTAGAGAAATACTAGTGAACAGTGCAATCAGCAAAGGAGGAAACAACAAAGAAGGGATAATAGATAAAGCCAAAGACTTTGATAAGGAATGAAATAGATGGTGAACCTCTAAATACTTCAAAGTTGGCTGTGAAACTATTTCAGATTCTCTCTCCTTTAAAAATTTGGAATCTATCAAGCATACACAAAATAGTAGATTACCATAAGGAATAGTGTGTGTACTACCTAACTTCAACAAATCTTATTATTTTGTCCTTATTACAGAGGAATTTTAGCTGGAAGAAATTTTAGCAATTTTAATTTAAAGAGAATGCTACAAGGGTCTGCACTGTGGCACGCTGGGTTATAAAACCTCCTGCAATGCCAGCACCCCATATGGGAGTGCTAGTTTGGGTCCCAGCTGCTCCACTTCTGATTCATCTCCCTGCTAAGGAGATGGGAAAGGCAGCAGAAGATAGTCCAAGTCCTTGATAAACACTGAAGCACCACACCTCACCTTGGGGCTTTACAGGCACTGCTGTGACAGTCTCAGGCACATGCCCACGTGCATGTGCCTACCAGCAGTGTATGTGGTTTTCTTGTTTCCTCTTCTTGCCATTTAATATTGACAGACTCCTGCCAATCAAACTAGTGTAAAAAGGTACCTCACTGTTGTTTTAATTATCATTTCTCTTATTTCTACACATGTTTATTGGTTATTTGAGATATGCCCATATTTCTAGGAGTTGTTCCTTTCACTTATCTTTAGGCAGTCTTTTTGTAATCTAGCTACGTAGTCCATTTCCACTATAACAATTGCAAAGATTTATGTCTATTTGATGTCTTATCTTTAAATTTTATTCACTCTATTTTGTCGAGTCTTTAATTTTAATGTGCTCCAATTCATTAACCTTTTGATAAATTGTGGCCTGGGGATTTTATTTCAGACAATATTCCTTCCTGTGAGTTCATGACTTTCTCCTATCTTTTCTTCATGGGTTCTAAGTTTTGCTTTGCACAAACACCCAAGGCCTACTCCTGACTTACAAGGCATTTTGTAAAACAACCGTTCTCCTGCACCATCATTCGTCTGCAAGTATTTACTATCCAGGGACCAATCAATGTGCGTGATGAAACTAAGGGACTTGCTGCATTCTCCAATTTTCTTATACCGCTGGGCAACAGCGTAGACGTCTACGGGGCCGTCATTGGATCCCACTGCTAGGTAAGAACCATCTGGAGAAAATTTCATTTCATGAATGACTTCTTTTCGATCTTTGATGTGAACCACTTCTGTCATATCTCTGTAAAAATAAAAAGTGAAGTGATCAACAGCAAATCTAGAAACAGAAAACTCAAGTTGTGTTTCAAAGTAAAAATATCAGAAAAAACAGTGTTTTTAAAGGGAGAAAAAACCTTCAGAAATCCAAAAATTAACTTCTGAGTTTTATAATATGAAATGATATTTAAATTTCATGGCTCATTTAGCAAAATTAATAATAAACATTTTAAATAGTACTCTGGGCTTCCTAAGTAAAAACAAATATAATTTAAGATAATTCATATTTGCTTTAATCATCAGCCATATATTTTTCCCTATATATTTTATTTAAAAAATTTGGGTTGGTAAAACTGTTTCTAAAATATTACATGGGGAAATATTAAATATACTAATGTTAACATTAAAATAAACCCATCTTTTTATGCTTCAAGAACAAGAAACCAGTGTCTGTTAAGCTTGATGCTTAGTGTTACAAAAAACATGGCGGGGGGGTGGAATTGGGGCCACCACTGTGGCACAGCAGATGAACCCACTGCTTGTGACACTGGCATCCCACATCAGAGTGCTGGATCAAGTACCAACTACCCTGCTTCCAGTCCAATTTCCTGCTAATGTGCCTTGGAGGGCCGCAAAAGATGCTCCATGTGCTTGAACCCCTCCCATCCATCTACAAGACCTGGATGGAGTCCCAAGATCTTGGCCTTGGCTTGGCCCAGCCCTGGCTGTTGCAGCTATTTGGGGAGTAAACTAGAGGATGGAAGATTTCTTCCTGTGTCTCTTCCTCTTTCTTTGTCACTTTGCCTTTCAAATAAAGAATTTCGGCTCACATTTGAAAGCTCGCTGAGGTTTTTGTTTTTTTACAACAATGAATCAGGATTATGATAGGCAGGTCCTCTGAACCAATAAAGATAGCTTCATCAACCCCAAAATAAACTGAGTGCATAAAAATGCCCACTGTTTCTATATCATAATCCTTCATCCATGCTATCATTTATTAAAAGCACCAGAGTGTACTCAAAAGCCATAAAGTAGGTATGTGTGGGGATTTTATGTCTTGCTTTGAAAAGCCATCACAAAGCAAATCTAGTAATTAGCCATCTTTTCACACATCACTAAGCAAAGAAAGAAAATGTTTGCGTGACTGGTAATGAGAATTTAATGTAAACTGTGCCAAGAGCCTTCTTCAAAGCAATACAGAATTTTCTTTGTGCAAAATATGCAGTATTTAATTTAGAGCTGCATTTCTTTTCTGTAATCACAAGATGTGTGAGCCAAGCGAATGAATGCCTTCAGAGGAATTTCAGGGGTTGGTCTGGAGTTCTGACCAGTAAACATAACGTAGTGTGATAGTAAATGTGACATATTCCACTTGGTATTGAATAATGGGTAAAAGTGGTCTTTTACTCAAGCTCACCTCTACACATCCGCTGCTACTGGATCCTGCTTTATTCTTTCTCCCTCTTTTCTTGGTTCACTACAAAGCCTACAACCTCTTATCTGGAAGACCTGGGGTAAAATGTGCTTGGGAACTTGTTATTCATTGGATTTTAGACAGGTTCACATCCAACATATTATGCAACATCCCCACACAAGAATTGTGCCAGAACCCTGTATTAAACACAATATTTTTGCAGCAAATCACACGACACATTGTTATCCCTATCATGGAATAACAATAGACCAGAACAGCTTCAAATCAGCTCACTGGGTTAGGCTGTACTGTCAGTTAAGTAACCAAAGAACTTGGGGTCTTCAGTGTTTCAGCCTTTAGAATGACAGGCAGTAGAGTGTGGATCAACGGTATTCCTACGTGAAAGAGTAAATGCAGTGTCCCGAGGTCTTGCCATGGGTTATGACTTGGAGCATCTCTTAATACCATTTTCAGTATCAGCACGTGCCTGACTCGGAGGACGATGAAAGAACCATCCTTCATGCCCAGCGCCAACTGAGACCCGTCGGGGCTGAAGGCCACGCTGCGCACTGCTTCCTCCATGTTACAGCGGGCGATCAAGGCGTGGTCGGCCAGGCTCCACAGCCTAGGATGAGAACAAAGTGAAAACCGGGCCAAGCCCACCTCTCAGCGACCTGAGGCAGCCCAAGCGCGAAGGCCTGCTCACCCAACGCTGGTAGCAACAAGAAAGGTCGCAGCAAGTTCACACCAGCCTCACTCATCACGGCCCTCCCAGCGGGCAGCCTGGGAAGCTAGCTGGAACCTCTATGGGTCATTTTCATCATGTGCAAAACCGAGCAAGAAAGAGAAGATGAGTCAACATTTCCCCATATTTGGAGATGCACAGAGTAAGGAAAACGGACACACTGCCTTGCACAAAATCTCACTCTGCCCTTTTGAAGTTAAGCTAGCCTCCACTTGCACCAGTAGCTGTCAGTTGGACTTACAGAGGATAGGAAGTATTTAACTAGTGCTACTGTGGCTAGTTCCCCCCCTCCCCCAATGTATTAGTGCCTTTCTAATAACTGTTATTTAAGCACATAGACAGAGATACACGTCATATCCGTTGGACCCCCCAGAGATTGGAGATAGAGAGGGGTGAACCACGCTCCTTCTGCAGGGTGGTTCCTAAGCTGGCTGTGTCCTCACAGGCCTTCCTGGTGCCCCGCGGCTTGTGGCGCGGACACGTGGGCACAGCCACTGCGGCAGAGACGGAGGAGGGGCAGGCGCACTCACACGGAGCTTTGGCAGCCCGGGCTCAGCGCATACCGAGTCCACGCACCTCAAACTGAGTGAACCTGAACACAGCACTTCAAGATTGCAAATAGGGAGTTACATGTGAGGTGCGATTGTGGGAGCTGGCCTCTATCTCTTAGCACTTCTCTGAAGACAGTCTTCTCTCAACACACAACGTCGTCTTCTGGGGGCACCGAGAACCTACAGTTCTGCAATGGAAAGGCGGGAATATGCCACACAGGACACTGTTTCCCTAAGTGCATTCTGCCATGGAGACAGATGAGGGCACCCCCTTTCCAAGGCCGAGTTGCACAGGGAACAGCTTCCCGGCCCCTCAGGCAGCCTGCGCTGCTCAGCCTAAAGCCTAAGGTATTCTCTCCATATCTCATCCATTATTCATAACCCCATGCTGTTTTTAGCCTGGTGCTATTTTAAGCAACGTGAGGTTTGGCTTTAGTAAAATAGGAAGGAAGCACCGTTCAGAGATCGGTACTATCCCCACCAAGTCTCTAAGCTCATCTTTCTCCAGAAATTTCAACCCCCAGTGCAGACACACACTTAAAACTCCAGCCAAATTCACGCATAAGGGGAGCAGCACAGGTTCCGGCAGTTGGGGTTCCCCAGAACCAACACAGTCCCTAAAATACAAAAGCCAAGGTCTTTCGCGAAATCACTTCTTCCTGGGCAAGCAGGAATCGACTGCGCAGGTGTTGGAGTAACTTCTTGGCACTGTTTTGGCTGCTCTGGGAAAGGAAAGAGAAAGGAACAAAGGAAAAGGAGAGCGCAACGAGAAGTACAAACCACGCACATTTACATCGCACGAGGAGACTTCAAACCTTTAGCCTGGTTTACCACGTTCTATTTTAGCTGTGAAAACCCGAAAGCTGTACTGCATCAATGAATCAGTCACTCTCTCCCTGTCCTCTCTCTCCAGCCTGTTTGCTAAGCACATTGACAGCACAACAGCAAACGGAGAAGAATTGAAGTCAGAGGACTAGTCTTCATCTGCAGCTTCTAAATGCTACGTTCATGCCTGCAGTTACCGTATGAATACGGGGGCAGACTCATTTTGTTCATTTTGCCCCTATTGTGTGCTCAAAGAGTAACAGGAGAGCCACAGCCAGAACCTCTGAGGCCTTAGTCAAACTGCCCATTGCTTCAGGAAGCGGCACTCTTTAATTTGAGGATGCTCAAATGCCATCTGAGAATTTCCAAAGAAGCAATTATAATTTATTCGCACGCTCAAGACCACTCTACAGATCAGAACGTAAGTTCTGATGACAAGAATGAGAGTCTGTGACTAACTCGTGTTAGCACAGGACCAGCACACCAAGGGAATTAAGAGCTCACTCAGCGGAGCGTGCTGAGCTCCTGTGTTGACCTAGAGGGAGAGGAGAAGAAAACCTCAATGATTTCCATGCACTTTTACTTCTTCAATGACATGATTTAAGACAGCACCAGAGAAAACTAAAAATGGTGTCTCAGAGCCAAGAAGCCAACTGCTCTTGAACTGGAACATTCCGCTTGGACAGCGTGTGGGTCTGTGCTGTGGTCTGTCCTCGTGTCACAGCAAATCTCTGTAAAAAGAAACCCGTTAGCCCAAGGACGTCAGTGAGGTGAGCTGCTGTGGCTGGAGCCTCACCTGACGGAGCGGTCGTCACTGCCTGTCACTGCCAGCGGCTTCTTGGGGTGCAGGGCCAGAGCCCAGAGCTCCCCCTCGCAGTGGCCCTGCAGGATCAACATGGGCTTGTCTCGCTCTCTCACGATCACTTCAAATATCTCACTGTCCTGGGTCCCCGCTAGAAGGCGGTCACCTTTCCAGCACACACTCCGGATGGAGAGGCCTGACAAAAGGAAACAGATGGATGAAATCGCAGTACCCAAATCACCTTTCACCAGGCTTGTGGCTGGCACAGCACATCTCGGAAGCTCCTGCCGGTGGAGCATCAACTCCACACGGCGCTCTGTGTTGCCCCCTACGTGTGCTCAGCGCTCCCCTCAGCCCGCGTGATCTGGTATGCTACAGTTAGGGCTCACTCGTCTGACTTAGAACACCTCTACATGTGCTTTATAGCACCATGTGCTGTAAGGACATTGCAAAGTGAACCTGAGAGGACAAATTAGTCTTTACAAAAACCTAACTCTATTTGAAATAATTTCCTTCTGATTTGCTATGAAAAAGTTAGCTATCACTTCCACCTTTAGGATGATAAAATTGTGTTAAAATGACATGCTGGTGATACTACTGAGTAGTTAACTGCCCTATCAGGCAACATTAGTATATATTGTGATAAGAACCTAGACTCATTTGACCGGATCAACAGATGCCCTATGTCCCAGAAAAATGCAAATAAAACTCTAGCTTCAGTTCAAATGCCATCAAACACCTGTCAGGGAAGACGTTATTCTACTCAACAATTCATGGAATCGTCTCTAAAAGCGTAATGCTCCTTTTAAATCCAACCTTCTCCTCCACATTATTCAGTCCTGCCTAGGAGGTGCTGACTTGTCTGGCTTGGCTTCTGATCTCCTGATCTGCCTGCAGTCTGTTCCATTCCCTACTCCTTCTTACGCAGGAAGTGAATTTTCTCATGTCTGAGTTGGAAATACAGGAGCAATTTCACGTTATTTAGACCAGGAGGAAGATGTGGAAAACTTTGCCATCCGAGTTGCCGCCCCAGCAGGCTTCACCTCTTTGGCAAGGAGATTCCCAGAAGCTCAGGGTCCAGGTGCTACTGCTGCTCCGTATGTGATCAGACACCCACTGGGGTTCCTTCCTCTCTAGGCCCAGTTTTTGTTCCCTGAAAATATAGCCTGTGATTACAGGGTCCAGGAGTCTCCCTCAAAGTAAATGAAGACTCCAAAAATCAATTAAAGTATTTACTGAGAAAAAGTGGTTTTACTAATGTTGAAAGACCTATTCAGTAGTTCTCTCAAAATATTTTCAAATATAAAATTCTAAGAACTGTTTATTATAAAATGAGAAGTTCAGGATAGAGGAACGAACAGGCAGACCACAGAGCATTTTAGTACAGTGAATATCTTCCATGAAATACGGTAATGATGGACATGTGTCATTACACATCTGTCAAAACCCATAGAATATCACACCAAGAAGGAACATTAACGTCAACTCTAGACTGGTGACACTGATGTGTCAGTGTAGGTGGGGGACACTATGCATAAATAGGGCCAGGGGACAGATGGGAATTTTCACTCAGTTTTGCTGTGAACCTAGAATTACTCCATGTAGATAGATTTGGGGCTGGTGTTGTGACCCAGCAGGTTAAGCTGCTGCTGAGTTGCCGGCGTTCCACAGAGGCGCTGGTTCAAGTCCTGGCCGCTCCACTTCTGATCCAGCTTCCTGCTGATGTACCTGGGAAAAGCAATGGAAGATGACCCAACTATCTGGGCCCTGAACTCTCGTGGAAGACCCAAAATAAACCCCTAGCTCCCAGCTTCGGTCTGGCTTTGCCTCACTCATTGCAGCCATTTGGGGAGCGAACCAGTACTTGGAGGTTCTCTCTGCTTCTTTCCCTCTCTCTGTCCCACTCTCTGTCCTGCTCTCTGTCCCGCTCTCTCAAATAAGTAAATAAATATATATTTTTAAAATATTTATGGGGGCCGGCACTGTGGCATAGCAGGTAAAGCTGCCACCTGCAGTGCCAGCATCCCATATGGGCACCAGTTCAAGTCACAGTTGTCCCACTTCTGATCTAGCTCTCTGCTATGGCCTAGGAAAGCAGAAGATGGCCCAGGTACTTGGGTCCCTGCACCTGCATGGGAGACCCAGAAGAAGCTCCTGGCTCCTGGCTTTGTCTGGCACAGCTCCGGCCATTGCAGTCATCTGGGGAGTGAACCAGCGGATAGAAGATCTTTCTTTCTGCCTCTCTGTAACTCTGCCTTTCAAATAAAATAAATAAATTTTTAAAAATCTATAATTCTATGAAAAATTCAGTAAAATGCTAAGGCAGATCGAACGTTAGCAGACGAGAGGGGTAAGTTGGGGTTTATGGGCACCCTTACTGTAATCTTCATTGTAATTGCCTCACTGTGGTTTGGCAAGGACCAAATGAAACATTTTTTTATTAAAATAGATTAACTAAGAAAGAAAAATGGAAGCTCTAGGCTATTTCCATATGAGCTATCTCTCCTTGCTCTGAATTCATTGTTACACATCTTGAAATGGAAGGAGAAAGCACACAGGCAGATATATGAGTCTGTCTGTGAGGAGCAAGTAGGTACCTTGGCAACAGCTAGTTCAGGGTCAATCCCTCAAAAATCCTCCACTGTCAACACCAGGATGAGTTCAAGGATGGCAAGGACAGATGCAGGGTGAGGGCAGCGGGAACGGGATTGTCAGCCCACAGGGCACACAGCTCAGTCGCGAGGGAGCCACACCACCCAGCAGCCACCCGCCTATTGTCATCATTCCTTTCTCAGGCATCTCTCTGCCCCCACCCGTGAACTGACACGCTCTTGATTACTTTCCTGAATTTTTCATAGCTTCTGCTGGGGGTTGACTGACAGGAGGGGCTTAGTTTGTGGTTTCAGCAGCCTTGGCTATAATTTTATCATAGAAACGGTGTAGCACTTATCCTTCAGTGTCATCAAGAAGTACAGAGAGCTACTGACACTCCAACATCAGCAGAGAAATCTAATAATTTACTAGTTTATTCCATTCATTGTTTGCTTCCTCTCTTTGCAATGCAAGGTCTGTGAAGGTTAGAGCTGCATCAGTTTTATTTCCTGCTGTGTTCTCGGAACCTTGTACAGGGGCTGACACACAGTACGTACTCACTGAGCACTGCTGAACAAATGAAATAAAAAACATCTGCATCCTTGAAATACTTGGGAAAAAATACTATGGCTGTCCTCAGTGAGTACACTCAAAGAAGGAGGACTGTACTCATTTAAACCTTGTTGAGCACCTACTATGTGTCTACACTGGAGTTTGAACAGTGAACAAGCTAGGGCCCTGTACAATTTACATTTAAAGGAGGGACCAGACATTTTAAGAAAATGTCTACACATCAAAAACCAGCTAAAATACATACATTTGACTGTGCATGTCTACATATCTAAGTACAGATATACACATGGTATCTATTGTAGTGATAATAACATTACTAAATCCTCAAGCCAGTCTTTCTGCAACTCCCCTGATGGTTTTAAAGATAAGCAGGCCTGGACTCTCTGGCTTTATCACAAGCCTGAACACAGCAACCCTCCCCAGGGCCTCCAACAGCTAATCTGCTCACACAACTCTAAATGGCTTGAAAACTAACTACTCGCAAGAACTTGGCATTGTATCTGGTCCAGCATACAAACATTTGCTCTCCACACTGACCCCACCATCCTTAAACCTTGCCTGGGGAAGCAAAGTCAGAAAGGTACAAAGAAACCCACAACCTACTGCCTGGAATTGACTGCTGTTAACATTTACATTTTTTTTTAAGAGGCATAGGAACAAAGAACCTTCTAATGCAGCCCTGCCTGAGGAGCCAGGCAAATTACCCCATTCCCAGTGGTTTCGGACAGTGAGGTTCTTGGTTTGCGGGGAAAGAGCGCTAGGGCCTGGCAGAATGGGGCCAGGTAAGGGAGACCAGGAGGCAGCAGTTTGAAGATCCCCCCCTGTGGCTCCCTCATCACTCCACGTCTGTTTTACATGAGTTTTCATTTGAAAAAGGCTTCTTGGCAAACTAACCAAGGCAAGGGAGGCTTAGCAAAAGCAATGGGGTTAAACTAACATGGGTTAAACCCAGCTCAGTACAGGAAAGAGTTGCTCCCTTTGTTTTTTATAGCAGAAATTTAATGAGCTGTGAATAAACGCTCAGGTCATCAACCAGATAAACTGAATTTTGTCACATCAGACCCCAGGGAGGCTATCTACAGGTCTAACTATGGGTCACTTTCACTCCCAAGATATGCATTTTAGATAAAAATTCCTTCTGTAAGACAAATCAGAAGGTAGAGAGCTGTATTTAAGTTTCCTAATAATGTTCTATTTTCCTCCCTAAACCTACGTTCTCTCCCGCACTTGAGGGTGGAGGAGAGAACTGCTCAACTCTGTCCAAACACACTCTGGAGACCGGCAGGTGCCTGACGAGGTCTCCAGAGCATTTCCCTCGTCCCATTCACCTGGACTTGGTCTTAACTTCCGTGACATCAATGCAGAGAGCAGGGTGTCAACACAGCATCCTGGCTGGGCTAGCCAAGGCAGTCATTGCATTGCATTCTTTATCTTATTTGGAATATGGTTTGAAAGCCACCAGTAGCAAAGAAAGCAAAATCATCCTAATTACTTCAAGACAAAGAAATTCTGTTTTCGAAAAGCAGACATTGTGGGTGTATTTGACTGTTTTGAACTGAGGGCAGTTTGCTAAATTGATGAGGTGTTCACTTTGTGGACCACTGCAGCCCTTCCCTGCCCCTGGTTCTAAGAAACATCGCTCTCTGGCCTGCGTCTGTGCTAATATGGCCAGCAGATGGCAGTAGAGAGCAAACCACCCATTTAAACCTAAAAATCCTCTAAGGCTGAGACAAAATTCTTGGCAGCCCTTTGCCCTGGTTTTACCTTCAGACCAGACAGTGGCAAACAGAATCCTGCTAATCCTCTCGGCTTCAATGCTGAGGCGTGGGCACAGGGAGATCTTGTCCACAAATATCCAAACAGATCTCATGAGTAAGGACATTGCTTATTTCCTGCCCATTCACTGAGGTGTTAAGTACCTAGTCTGCATGTATACCCCAAACCCTCAGTCCCCCCAAGCTGTGTGACATGGTAAGCTGTCTAATTTTTCAAATCTTCATTTTCCACATCTGCAAAGCAGAGATCATATTA